CAAATGAATACATGTAGAAAGACACAAATACCCTTTGAATTCATCAAACTGTACGTGGTATTATTTTATATATTTGTATTTTAGCAGGATGATGTGTACAATATGCAAAATGCACCAACCGCTTACAAAACACGTGGTCCTGCTTTTATTCTGAAGAGCACCAAACACAAACTTTAGCCTCGTCTTTACAAACATTATTCATCAAATAAAAACTGTGAAAAGTCAAATGGAGCCTCGTTAGACATCTGTTAAAAAAAAGCTGCGGCTTAATAAAACATTTTTACCGCAGTTAACTTTGTACAAATGAAGAAACGACTGTGAAACTTTTATTCTGAAACACACAAACGACGGGACGCGGCGAGGGTCAAACGTCGACTTCCGCGTTGTCAGATTATTTTGGAGAAATCCTCCGAAACACCGACACGCGAGTTTCTGCTTCAGATCCTCGACACCGGAAGAGGTGAATGAAACGTCTCCTCACTTCACTGAAGAGTTTCAGCTCATGAGATGTTTCACTCCTTCATCTCTGAGCGGATCCAACGCGTTTAGCTTCAGTTTCTCACAAGCTAACCTGTAGCCACCGCGCTAACGCTAGCTAGCTCTCTCCTGCCGTGCAGAAAGAAACTTTTCCGGCTGCGTCGGTGAACTTTGGTCGCTGATGAGGTTCATTTTTGAATCTTTTACACTCTGAAATCAGAGTCGAACTTTAATCGACCCCGCAGAGTTTGATTTTTTTTTGTTCATTGAAGCTTCTGATGTCAAGAATGTTCGCTTTTGTTTTGGTTTGTTTGACAGAAGCATCCAGGAGCATGGTGTGATGTCAGCTGACACCCGCCCCCTGCCACTGTTGAGCTGCTGACTGTCACCTCCATCCTCTTCATCACCTCCATCCTCATCATCATGTCCCCGGGAGACAACCCTCACCTGCTGCTCGGCAGGATCCGCTTCCTGAACCGCTGCATCGAGAGCTTCCGGAGGAGCGAGCCGGTGCCGGAGTGTCTGTGCTACGTGCCCAGAGAGGTGTGCTACAAAATCTGCAAGGACTCGTCGGCCACCTCCGGGGCCGCCTCCGGAGCATCTGCAGGCGGATCCGTGGTCGGTAAAACTCTGGTGCCGGTCTTCGACAGTCCACATCAGGTCCCGCACAGCAAGAGGACGTGCAAGTACAACATTGAGCCGAAGAAGGGGACGTGTATCCGGACCACAGGGGAGGAGTACTGCAACAGCCAGGGCCTGTGGGTCAAACTCAGCAAGGTACAAACCTACCTGGGTACAGTCACATCATCATCATCATCATCATCATCA